CAGACTCGGCAGCAGATAACAGCAACAACATGTAAAACATATTTTGAAATACCGGTTTCATATTTAAGATACCACACTTAATTTTAAAGCCAGATTTATATTAAATTATGGGCATCCAGAGTACAGACACTGTTAGTGTGCTACTTTAGATTTTATAGTATTTCTGTGGGAAAGAGTTCAGTTTCTTTTTGCCTTATCCTGCCTTTGCTAGGACGTTAATATTGCAGGTTCTTTGCCTATTGATCATGACATTTTTACTGTGCAGATTCTCATATTCTGTAGTGAAAACCTGACATCAGAGATCAGTAATCTGTTTGTATCTTAATCTCTTTAGCAAGATAAAGGACTGTCTTGGGATTCAAGGACTCCACCAAGGTACAAATTTGAGAGAACAGGAGGAAAAGAAAAGGAACTGAGAAATTCAAAGATGAAAATATTACAAATGTCACACACACAAACAACTTACACAGAAACCACAAGTGCCATGTGATTGTTTTTCTTATTCTTCACCATAGGATTTAATATGAAATGTTTTTATCTTACAAATGGAACAGGTCTTAAAAGTTCTTTCCTGTTTTGTAACAAGTACCTGTCAGGGACATAGATAATCTTACCTCATGGTGAAGCTCCCAGTATTAGCTTCTTTTCCTGCTTACTCATGCTAAGCCTGGTTGCTCTCTAGTGTATCCAATAAAAAAAATAGAGAAATCTAACTACAGTTCTGTGTGCTTTCAAGGACGTCTTTTCTTATGATGACCACTTTTATATTCCCTAACATCCTTCTTATTAGGTGGTACATTTTATTCCTTCTATTCCTTCCTGTCACAGAAAGCACCATTTGTCAACTTCCTTCTCAGTCACATACTTATGTCCCCTCCTTGGGTAATACCTGTTCATATGAGATTGGGATGCTCTAATCAACTCAACATTCTTCTCTCGTAACTTATTTTCCCCTTGACTACTTATCTTTCAAAGAGAATGTACTTTTCGGGGGACAATTCATACCCCAGGCACATTTTTTTCATGTATAAATCTAAGAGGTTCCATATATTTCCCTTTTATAGCCCTCAAATTTTACTTGTTTGCCTACCTATATATCATTGTGTAGTCTTGAAGCTGAATAGTCTTTCTAGATTTGGAAACTTTGTCCTTTGAATTTGAACACACAGAAAACACAACCTTGCTTGCTGAAAGGAGCAAGGACTTGAAGCAGTTACTGATGAAGATCAAAGACTATAGTGTTTAGTATGGATTACACTCTGCATAAAGAATACAAAAAATCCTTACTACTGTTGCTTATGATCATTAAGCAACATCATGATAAATGGAGAAGAAATTGAGATTGGCAATGAGTTATTTTTACTTGGATCCACAGTCAACACCCATGGAAGCAGTAGTCAAGAAATAAATGATGTATTGCATTGGACAGATCTGCATTGGATGCTTTAAAGATCTCTTTAAAGTGTTAAAGAGCAAAGATGTCACATCGAGGACTAAGATGCACCAGACCCAAGCCATGGTATTTTCATTCACCTCTGATGCATGTAAAAGCTGGACAGTGAAGAAGACTGAAGAAGAATTAATGCTTTTGAATTATGGCATTTGTGAAGAATATTGAATATACCATGGATTGCCAGAAGAACAAACAAATTTATATTTGAAGAAGTATGACCAGAATGCTCCTTAAGTATGAGGATGGTGAGACTTTGTTCTCTCATACTTTGGATGTGTTATCAGGAGAAACCAGTCCCTGGAAAAGAACATCATGCTCAGTAAAGTAGAGGGTCGGTGAAAAAGAAGATCCTAAATGAGATGGATTGACCCAGTGGCTATAGCAATGGCCTCAAACATAGCAAAATTATGAGGATGGCACAGGACCTGGCTGTTTTGTTTTGTTGTGTTGTATAGGGCCTCTATGAGTTGAAACCAACTTGGTGGCACCTAACAACAATATATTAAAATCTTTCATCACCTGTGACTCCTGTGATTATATATAATTTTTATAACACATATTTCTGTATTTCTCATTCAAGATATATATTGTGTATATATATATATATATACACACACACACACACACACACACACACTAAGCTTGGAATTAGCTTTTTCAGGTAGCTTGAATTCAAGGTACTGTATAATATAAATTCACTGCTTCCTAATCTTTGGAATTGCTATTGTAAGTTTGATCCCATGTAGATAGATCTTAAAAAGAGCACAATGCTTAAGGCAGACATTGTTGTTTATTTATTTTTACTGTGATTTGAGTGAAAGTTTACAGAGCAAATTCATTTTCCATATAACCGTTCATATACATTTGGCTTCATGATATTGATTGTAATTCCCATAATGTAACAGCTCTCTTCTCAGTTTCTTTCTGTGGTTATCCTTTCCCCGTCTCTTCCTTTCCTGTGCATTCCTGCCATCTGAGCTATCTCCTTGTGTAAATACTGCCCTTCTGGTGTCCCATGGTTGATTGGTCTAGGGACTGTACCTGCCTGGTATAAATGTTGACCTTATACACTTGTCTATTGTTTGGCTGGAAGCCATGGAAATGAGTTTAATTCAAGGTCCAAAGGGTGACTAGGGGCCGTAGTCTTCACCAGTCTCCATCAGGCCAGTAAGCCTGCTCTTTTTTTTTTTATGATTTTGAGCTTCGTTCCATAGTTTTTTCCCACTTTATCCAAGATCTCCTATTTTGATCCTTTTCCAAGAGTTTGGCAGTGATAGCCAGGTACCATCTGGTTCTTCAGGGCTCAGGGTCTTGTAGGCTGAGATTCGCATGGTCCACCAGTCCCTTGGACCAATTATTTCCATGCATCTTTGGTTTTCTTCATTCTACTTTGCTCTGGATGAGGAGAGACCATTTGTTGCATCTGAGATGACCGCTTCTAAGCCTTTAAGACTCTAGTCACTACTCACCAAAGTAGGATGTAGAACAGTGTTTTTGTGTAATATATTATGCCACTTGAGCTTGATGTCATGGTCCTGAACCCATGGGTGTGATGACTCATTCCCTCAAGGTGTTCAACTGTGGCTAAGAAGTTACTATAACCTTGCTGCATGAAGGGCAGACATTCTTTATGAGTTAAGCTAAACTGTTGTTTAGTTTTAAGAAGACTTTAGGGGACATTTGTGGTTTAAGGTTTAAAGATTATCTCAGGGCAGTAGTTTCAGCCAGTCTCCATGGCTCCAGAAAGACTGAATTCCATGGCTATTGTAATTCTTTTCTGCATTTCCCTCCTTTTGATAAGGATTCTTCTACAGAATCTTTCATCAAAATGTTCAGTAATGGTTGCCGTGCACCATCTGGTCTCATGGCAGAGGAGGAGTTGTTCATGAAGGCAGCTAGCCACACATCCATTTCCTCCTCTTATTCTTGACTTTCCTTCTTCATCTGTTGCTCTAGGTGAATAGAGAACAACTGTGCCTTGGATAGCTGCTTGCAAGTTTTTAAGACTTCAGGCACTACACAGTGAACTAGGAGGTAGAACAGAAGTACTTAATATTTTATTAGGCGAATTAACTGGGGTTCCCCATGAACCTATGATCCTTGATCTCCAACTAAAGAACCAAATTCTATGAGATATTTGGTTATGCCATTAGCAGCCTTAGCAGCTATTCTTTCTTTCTTTCTTTCTTTTTTTTTTTTAATTTTTGTAAATATATCATCACACAGCTTTTGCCAGTTCAACTTTTTGCAGTTGTGCAGCTTATTGACAGCACTTAATATAATTGGCTGTGCAGCCCTACCCTTAATCAATGTGATTTTCAACTACCATAAACCAAAACTCAGTACTGTATAAGCAGTGACCCCCTCTTACACCCTTCCTTCTGCCCTTGTAACCACTAAGAAACTTTGGTCCCTATATATTTGCCAGCATAGTGCCTAAGCCATTTGACTGCTACCCAGAGGGCTAGCAGTTCAAACCCACTAGGCACTCCTCAGAAGGAAGATTGGGCAATCTACTTACGTAATGATACTGCCTTGGAAACCCAAGGAGAGGTCGCTATGAGTCAGATCCGACTCAATGGCGATGAATTTGTTTTTTTGGTTTTTGTGTCTTTTTATATAAACGGGGTCATGAAGTTTTGTCCTTTTGTGATTGACTTATTTTAGTCAGCGCAATATCTTCAAGCTCCATCCTTATTGTAGCATGTACCAAGACTTCATTTCTCTTACTGGCTAAGTAGTATTCCATTGTATGTATGTACCACGTTTGTTTATACATCCATCCATTGATTGGCACTTTCTAGCTTTTTAGTGATAATACCATTAGATTCTCTTTTCAGTATTTTCTTGGAATGTGAATTGTGCTGTCTCTAGAAGAACTTAAATGGACATTGCATATACCAAACCAAACCAAACTCACTGCTGTCAAGTAGATCCCGACTCATAGCAACCCCTCTTTGGGTTTCCAAGGCATATCCCTATGGAAGTAGATTGCCTAGTCTTCCTTCCCAGGAGTGGCTAGTGGGTTTGAACCACCGGCCTTCTGGTTAGCAGTCAAATGCCTTAAGCACTATGCCACCAGAGGTGAAAAATTCTTATGTCAAGATTCTGAACACATTTGGCAAAAAAAGTTATAGCAGATATAGTTTAATTTGCATTAGTGAAGGAGAACAGTATCTTGTACCTTATTTCTGTATACCTTTATGAGAAATGTTATTGTTACAACTCTTCCAGTGAAAACAATTAGTTGCTTTTTAGACCAGCTTTTCTTTTCTACTTACCTCTTCTTTGCTACCTACCCGTTCCTATTTTTAGAAAATTCAAACTAATTTTACTATTCTGTATAAAACTTAAATGATAAAGGCACATCTACTCCAAAAATCCAGATAGAAATTGCTTTTGTGTGATCTGTAGTTTTAGATTAATCATGCCACAACTTTTTGAAGGGATAATTAAGAAATGACTTATTAATAAAGATGGGGGGAAAGTTCATGTCATAACATATAAATGGAGATGTTGATGTTAAGTTCATCTATATTTTGTTTAGATGTCCCTGGTAGATTTGGGAAAGAAGCTTTTAGAAGCCGCACGAGCAGGTCAAGATGATGAAGTTCGTATTTTGATGGCAAATGGAGCTCCTTTTACTACAGACTGGGTAAAGAATTACTTTAATATTATAGTTTTTTTTTTCCCCTTCTCATTTCAGAGTTTTTCCATAGTAATTTAGTCAATATTTCATTTATAAGTGGGAAAAAATTATTTTTTTTCAAATTTGTTATTTTAGAATTATAGCTGTCTTTTAAAATTAATGGTTTTCTTTCTTTTCTCTATCTCTCTCTTTTTTTTTTTTTCTTTTTAAATTGAACAGCCTTATCCATAAATTCTTTTCGCAAAGAATTTCTCTTTTAGACTGTGGAGTACAATGTAATTGTTTGGGATTTATTTTACAGGTCTTACAAATAGCACAGGTGGAGTTTATAATTTAGAAAATAATAAAGATTGAGGTTAGTGTTATGACTGCTCATAAAAGGGTGAAAAATTGTGTTACAATTGATACTTATAAAACCATCGCAAACATGACCAAGTAGGAAGAAAGGTAAGAATGAGTTCTTAGTAACTATAAAAGTCAATTTAGTGAGGAAGACAGAAAACACATCTGTTTAATTTTGATATTAAATCAAGAAAGAAGCTTGGGTAATATGGAATGCTAGGGATTTGTATTAACCTTTCCATTGATAACAAGTAAAAATTCTAGATTTTATTTGTTAATTTGGCTATTTAGTCTTTTTTAAAATTTGTCATTAAAAACAATAGTTTTGTTATGAAGAATTTCAAACATACGTAATTTTTAATTATTAACACTGTTTATTATAAGGCCATGGTAGTGGTTTCACAGGAGTTTACCTTATTTTTCTTTCAGGTACGTATATTATATTTTCAACAACTAAAAAGGGGAAGGGAAAGAAAGGAAAAAAATACAAAATAGACTATATCACATGAAACAAAAGTCTTGGTTGCTGAAAAGACTATTTACTTTCATTAAGTATTAGAATTTAAGAGTGTAGAAAAGGCTATTTATGGAAAAATGCAAGTAGCCATGGAGAAAGGAAGAATTGTTCAAGAATCTTTTTTAATCTTGTAGAATGACTCTCTCTTAAAAATGTAAGATTTTAAAATAACGACAAGATAAGTTATTCCTGGGGTAAGTGATTTCCATTTTGCCACATACTGAGAGATGTTATAGCACATGCCTGGGTTTTACTTGTGTGACTTCAGGCAAATTGCTAACCTCTTTTGCCTTAGGTTTTTGCCCTACCAAATAAGGATTGTATCATATGAGGAAATACAATGAATTAATATGTGTAAAAGTCTTAGAAAAGTACTCAGAAAACTTTGTTGTTGTTGTTATGTGCCATCAAGTCGGCCCCAACTCATAGCGACCCCTCCTTGGGTTGCCAAGGCAGTATCACTACGGAAGTAGATTGCCCAGTCTTCCCTCCGAGGAGTGGCTGGTGGGTTTGAACCTCCAGCCTTCTGGTTAACAGTCAAGTGCCTTAGGCACTATGCTACCAGAGCTTAGTTGCTATTTTTACGGTGATAGCAGATTTTATGTTCTGTGTGAAATATCTTTGGTTCTTTGGAGCATCAGTAACTTGGTAATCAGAGTTATAGGGACTTTTTATGCCTCTCAGTACATGTAATATAACTTAATTCTAATTTTCACCTATAAAAAGTTATGTCTCTGATATGACTGTCCCTTCCCTTACATTGGGAGTCGTCTGGGTGGCGCACATGGTTAAGAGCTCAGCTGCTAACTGGTAGGTTGACTGTTCAAGTCCGCTCAGAAGCCTGTTGATCTGTTCCCAAAAAATCAGCCATTGATAACCCTATGGAGCACAGTTCTACTCTGACACACTTGGGGTCATCATGAGGCAGAATTGACTTGACAGTAACTGTTTTAGTTTTTCTATCCATATTTTAATACTTCCCCTTTTATAAATTGTGCATGTAGAGTCAATTTAGTGGGCAGACCATATGGAACCAATTTCAGGAGAACTTGGCTGTTTTTTCTGCCCTGACTTACTTTTGGCAAATGTACCTAAGATTGTGCCCTTGAAAAACGACTGTGTGAGTTCCTTTTGAAAAGATAAGTAAGATACTTTATTTTTTAAGTCCTACAAAACAGTTCTGATCCATTAAATGTAGAAATGTGCCCTATTACATTTATTTGATAGGAATTTTATAGATGAAAAGAAGTTAATATAGCAAGTTTATTTGATTGGTTGAAGGAAAACATTTCAATACTCAGAAAAGTATCTCAAATCCTAATGATCTAAATTAATTTTTTACACCTATTTATGATGAAGAAATAACAAAGAAAGCAAGTCATAGCATTTTTTCACTGAAAAGTGTATGAGAATTTTTAAAGACAGGCATATGAGCTGAACCTTTACAATAGGTAGATACACTCCTTGGAGAGATCAATTGTGGGAGAATAGAAGGGCTCTGTATGCACAGGGAGACAGTTCGGTGGGGCAGGAGTACATGGGAGGGAAGGACACAGGAAGAGGAGGTAACTATGGGAAGGAAGTGGGAAGAGAGCTGTTGCGTTGTGGGAAATTGCAGTCAATGTCATGAGATGAAGTGTATATGAGCTGCTGTATGGAAAATGAATTTGCTCTGTAAACTTTCATCCAGATCACAGTAAAAATTAAAAAGAAAAAAGTATATGAGAATTCTTAAAGGCCCCTATGAAGATGTTGCATAAATGAAGTTATTTCAAGCTTTGAGTTACTATGGAAACAGATAATATGAAATACTGTGCTTTTTTTGTAAACATAAAAAAACAAAATAATAAGTAGTAGTAGAGGTGTATTAAAAATGACTACATTTTTTTTTTTCCCTGTGGCATAGCTGGGAACTTCTCCACTTCATCTGGCAGCACAATACGGGCATTATTCCACCACAGAGGTGCTACTCCGAGCTGGTGTAAGTAGGGATGCCAGAACCAAAGTGGACCGGACACCATTACATATGGCAGCTTCAGAGGGCCATGCCAGCATAGTAGAGGTGTTGCTTAAGGTATTTGTTTTCTTTTTACTCTCTGCTTTTGAAAGTAAGCTCCTAAAGTTTTTGTGGTTGTATAAAAGGAAGAAGAAAGCTAGTTTTACTGAATGCCTACTTAGTATTTTACTTTTGTGATTTCATTTTTTAAATATGTATAAATCTATCAAATGAAAGTTACCTTAAAGTTTTCCTTTGTGAAGGAAAAAATTCTTTTAGGTATAATCTTGGTTGAGTCAACAATTGATTTGTTAGACCTTGAGCTACGCTATGGTAAGGGACTATAGCTTTGCCTTCTGCCCTTTTAATGTACTAAAATACATTGTTAAAATGCTCATGGAAGGTAATATTAGGGCTGAATGATAAACAGATGATGATTTTTCTTTAATAATGCCAAAGCATTATATAGAAAATTTTTAAATAGAGAGTGATAGATTTAGACATGATTTTTGAGCTGACTTTTTTTTTTTTTTTTTAAATCCTGGACTCTAGATCAGTGCTATCCAAAAGAAATACATTATAAGCCACAAGTGAAAGTCATACATAATTCTAAATTTTCTAGCAACTGCATTTACAGAAGTAAAAAGTACCTTTAGCATTGTATATTATTTAGCCCAATATATACAAAGTATTAGCATTTCAACATAATTAGTACAAAAATTATTACTGAGGTATTAAGTCTTTGAAATCCAATGTGTATTTATGCTTACAGCACATCTTTATTTGGACTGTTATATTTTAGGTACTTAATAACCACATGTGTCTAGTGACTACCATATTGGACAGCAAACGTCTACATAGCTCCCTTTTAATTGTTTGTATTGCACTGGTTTTGAAAGCAAAGATATTTTTGTGTAAATGAGGAAGTAGGTAACAAGCTCCTATGATAGCAATAAAGAACGGTTTGGAGGCATGCTTATAGTTTTTCTTCCCTTCTGATGCCTTTTTAGTCCTTCATACCATAGCTGGGTGACTGAAAAAAAATTTGCTGCCTTTCTGTGAAATTAGAAGGAAATTAGAAAAGTCGGCATGATAGAAAAATAGTGATGGATGGTGGTGATTCCTGGAACTTATGGATTATTTAAAACAAAAAAATTGGAGTTGATTATGTTGGTATTAAATTTTTCCTTTAAAGCTTAGTGACTAGTATTTTCATATCATGAATTCATTGTATTTCATATTTTGTCAATCTTATTTGGAAATATTATTGCAGCATGGTGCTGATGTTAATGCAAAAGACATGCTAAAGATGACAGCTCTACATTGGGCCACAGAACACAATCATCCAGCAGTGGTGGAACTTTTAATCAAATATGGTGCTGATGTACACACACAAAGTAAATTTTGTAAAACCGCATTTGATATTTCAATAGACAATGGGAATGAAGATTTAGCAGAGATACTACAGGTAACTTTTGGCTTTTAATTTAAGAAAATCAACACAAGGAAGCTTTTATTTATGGTTCTCTGTCTTGTGGAAGATTTGACCTATTTAACTTGTAGCTTTTGATTTTGGACTTGGTAATTTTGAACAGGCCTTTTTGTCTTTGACTTCCTCTTTGTTCATTACTGCTTAAGCTCCTCATTATATGACCACAATCTTTTAATGTATCATCAGAAGATTAGATAAAGTGATCACTCTATGGTTTAAGTTCCTGAATTCCTCTTATAGATAATTTATTCTGTTGGTTATTTTGTTGCATATTTTGATACCAGATGAGTTTTTCAAAATCTAGTATGCTTCCATTAATTTTTTTTAATGCAACTGTAATAATGTCCATCAAATGAATGATGTAGTCTTATTCATTTGTTTCTTTTCTTTTTTTTTTTTTTGTTTTAATCATTCTTAAAAGTTTCTTTGCAGGCATAGTTACTTCTGGTTTTTAGCAGGTTTTTCTAGTAACCAACATTATTTCTCTTTGCTTTAGTTAGACAACATTGATGTAAATTATCTTCTTAAGTTGCTGCCTTCTCTTGCCTATCTTCTTGTTACCTTTTCCAGTAGAACTCTTCCTCTCCCAGAACATTTGGCTCCATTGAATGTCAGCTAATTATTTAAAAAATGTTCTATGTTCAGGAAAATGAATTTTGTCGTGCCTCTTCTCATTCTCTTACTTCTAGAAGTACACTTTGGGGACCAGAGTTAAGATGGGGAACTCTAATTGGGAAGGTCATGCTTTATATATATGCTATATAATGCTGAATGTAGTAGAGAGGAAATAGGTTGATAATTATATTTCTGTAGCCACAGGGCAGCAGAATATCTTTCAGTGTCCAGTATGTCTCTATTCTTTATAGCCTTTTCAGATACTTATTTCTCTTCTCATAGAATTTTGCTGCTTTACCTAATAGAGGAATTTGGGATGTGAATTAATAACTACAGTTTAGCACAACACTCTCAGTAGACCACAAACAAAGGTTGTCATTTTGTATTGTGCGATTCCTCTTAAATTAGACAATGTTCTCTTTTATATGTGTTTGTACTGCATTGGGAATCTGTGCCTATATGTGCTGGTTTTAGTTCTGAAACCATTGTGATGATTTTTCCTCTAGATTGCAATGCAGAACCAAATCAACACAAACCCAGAGAGTCCTGACACTGTGACGATACATGCTGCAACACCACAGTTTATCATTGGACCTGGAGGGGTGGTGAACCTAACAGGTCTGGTATCTTCAGAAAATTCATCCAAGGCAACAGGTATTGAGATGCATAGAGGATAGCTGTTGGATAGTTGTTATGCTTTAGTAGGTATTCGTCCTTTTAAGAAAGGACTGTTGGAGAATGAGGGTAAGATCATATTAGGCATTTTGGTTTTCTTTGGTATCAATGGAAAAAACAAATTTTTATGAGAAAATAAAGATAATATTGCAAGCACAATACAATATTATCTTTCAAAACCTAATCCTCGGAAGGAAGATGGGGCAATCTACTTCTGTAGTGATACTGCCTTGGAAACCCAAGGAGGGGTCGCTATGAGTCGGGTCTGACTCGATGGCACACAACAACAACAAACAACAAATGCTATCCAAGCTTGTCTTTTATAAAACTATCCAAACTTCATTTAAGAGTTAAAATAAAATAGAATACCAGAAATAGGCATTCGATTAAGTGCCTTAAAAGTTCACATCTGTTTTTTCTTTTCTTATAGATGAAACGGGTGTCTCTGCAGTTCAGTTTGGAAACTCATCTACATCAGTATTAGCTACATTAGCTGCCTTAGCTGAAGCATCTGCTCCCTTGTCCAATTCTTCAGAAACTCCCGGTTAGTAAACCAAGTCAAATGTATACATGAAATGTTACAGATTCAAATACTTCCCAAGGCCAGGAGAGTTTAAAAGGCTAAAGTGGACAAGGTTGAGATTATATTGGGTGAAGAGAATAAGGCAGTGCAGGGATCCATACGCTGCTTACCTCTTAGAGTTATGTGCCTGGTGAGGTCATTTTCTCTTTTTTCACAAAAATCTGAATTTTAAAAGAATATTAAATCTTGATATTAAATGTTGACAGCTAATTGAAATTAACAAACTTGTGTGATTCACGGAAAAGATATCTGTGTGCCCAATTTGGTCCTTTGTTTTACCAGTTTGTGACCTTTTGTATAAAGTAGATAAATATATATGAAATTGCTTTTTTATAACTTTTAATTTTTGTCAGTTGAAGCACATGGAATCTTAGTGAGTGACAGAACCAGGAAAAATAGCATACCAAAACCACCATTAAAGGGAGATCTGTTGTTAAATGATGACAAAAACAGTATTAATTAACTAATATTAATTAATAGCTAGTATAGATAGGGTTTTCCTTTATACTTAACTAAAATACTTATTAAAAAAATTATTTTATTGTGGTAAAGTATATATAACATAAAGTTTGCCATTTTAACCATTTAAAGTATACAATTCAGAGGTATTAATTACATTGACAGGGTTGTATAACCATCACCACTATTTTCCAAACTGTTTCATCACTCCAAATAGGAACTTTGTACCCGTTAAGCGTTAATTCCCCATTCCTCTCTCTACCTCTAATAACCTCTAATGTACTTTCTTTCTCTACAGATTTGCATATTGTCTGGTTTATTTCACTCAGCATAATGGTTTCAGAGTATGTAACATTTCATAGAATGTTACAGAGCTTCATTTTACTTTATGGTTGAATAATAAATATTCCATTTTATGTATATACCACTTTTGTTTATCCATTCATCTGTTGATAAACACACACTTGTGTTATTTCCACCTTTTTGCTATTGTAAATAATCCTTCAATGAACATTGGTATATATGTATTGAGTCCCAGTTTTCAATTCTTTTGAGTATATTCCTAGTAGTGGAATTGCTGCATCATATGGGAGTTTTGTATAAAACTTCTTGAGGAACCATTAAACTGTTTTCCATAGTGGCTGTGCCATTTTACATTCCAACTAATAATACCCATGGGTTCCAATTTCTCTACATCCTTGCCAATACTTGTTATTTTTTCTTTCTTTTCTTTTGATAATAGCCATCCTAATGAGTGTGCAGTGATCTCTTGTTTTGGTTTTGATTTATATACTTGAAATGACTAATGATGTTGCACATCTTTTCATGTGCTTATTGGTCATTTGTGTATCTTCTCTTGAGAAATGTCTATTTAAGTTCTTTGCCCTTTTTTAATTGAGTTGTCTTTTTGTTGTTAAGTTGTAGGAGTTCTTTAAGTATTCTAGATAGTAAACCCTTACCAGATACCTAGTTTCGGATAGTTCCCATTCAGTAGATTGTCTTTTTATTTTCTTGAAAATGTTCTTTGATGCACAGAACTTTTTAATTTTGATAAAGTTCTGTTTATCTAATTTTCTCTTTTGTTGCTTGTCTTTCTGATATCATTTCTAAGAATCCATTGCTAAGTCTAAGGCCATGAAGATTTATCTCTCTGTTTTCTTCTAAGAATTTTATGGTATTAGCTCTTACCTGTAGTTAGGTCATTGATCCATTTTGAGTTAATTTTTGTATATGATATGAGGTAAGTGTCTAACTTCATTCTTTTTTGTGTTAAAATATGGTTGTTCTAGTACCATTTGTTGAAAAGACTTTTCTTTCCCCCTTGAATGGACTTGGCATCCTTGATAAAAATCAATTGGCTACACACAGATGTACTCTCAATACTATTCCATTGGGCTAGATGTTTATCCTTATGCCAATACCACACTCTTACGTTATTGTAGCTTTATATAGTATGTTCTAAAATCAGGAAGTATGAGTTCTTCAGCTTTGTTCTTTTTTTCAAGATTGTGTTAGCTATTCAGGACTCCTTGCAATTCTATATGTATTTGAAGATTGGCTTTTCCATTTCTGCAAAAACAACTCTTGGGATTTTGTTGAATCTGTAGATCGCTTTGGGTAGTTTTTGACATGTTGATGGTATTAAGCCTTCCAGTCCATGAGCATTGGATATCTTTCCATTTATTTAGGTTCTCTTTAATTTCTTTCAAGGAGGCCTGATGGCACAATGGATAAGCATTCAGCTGCTCACTGAAAGATTGGTGGTTTAAACCCACCAACCAGTCTATAGGAGAAAGATATGGCAGTTTGCTTCTGTAAAGAGTGCAGCCTTAGAAACCCTGTGCGGCAGTTCTACTCATAGGTTGCTATGAGTTGGAATCTATTCAGTGGCAATGAGTTTGGTTTTTAGAATTTTAATCTACCCTTTGGGGGGCGGGGGCATATAGATGTTTCTGAAATTGAGAGGCCTGTGCAAATATAGAGGTATTCTCACCTCTTCTGGTAATGTTGTCAGAAGGAACCATTCCCTGGAGAAGGATATCATGCTTGGTAAAGTGGAGGGTCAGCAAAAAAGGGGAAGACCCTCATTGAGATGGATTGACACTGGCTGCAGCAGTGAGCTCAGGTGTAGCAAGGATTGTGAGGTTGGGGCATGGCCAGACACTGTTTTGTTCTGTTGTACGTAGGGTCTCTATGAGTCAGAGCTGGCTCAGTGGCACCTATCAATACAAAGAGATCAAGGCATAGGATATAAAACAGCATGTCAATATAATGATGTACGTTACTGCTATTGGCCAAAAGTGGTTTTGGACATCTTACGTGTGATAAAGCTGAGGCATGCATAGGCATATCAAAGAAAACTTTTTTATTGGTTCCTATTTGGTTAAGCTTTTAAATTTTTTGCCTTTAATAAAATTACATATCCCTGATAATTAAACAGATTTTCTGGAAAGTAGCTGAAAGTTTGACATTTAGACATTTGACTCCATGATTTGGTCACACTAACTTTTCCAGTTTCCACTTTTGAAAATGTTATGGTATAAGCTGAGAGAGTTAGTAATTTCCATTGACTTTTATTGCATGTGATTTACAGTCTTCTATGAGCACAATAGTTTTCCATCTCAGTGCTATATCATAGTGGAGTCATTTTAAAGATATTTAAGAGCTTGAATTACGTTAAAGTTCAGATGAGTATGTTGCCACTGATGTAAATTCAGATCTGAGATGTGTTGCCAAATAAGGAAAATATCTTCTCAAAGGCAAAGATAAATATGCCGCAGATTATGCCTATGCCTCTTGGCTGTCCAGTTTCTTTAAATATCAATTATCAGACTCATACTCAATTTAGGGAAAGAAAAAAAATTTCCTCCAGCATCTAGGGCTAGGGAAATAAATAATAAGACTCTCGTTTTACATATGATGAAATTGAGGTATATGAAGGCTACATAATTTTCCCAAAGTCATATGGCTAGTAAGTGGTGAAAGGGGGCTTGTGCTCAAGGTTTGACCGATTCCCAAGTAGTATGTCTGGGACCACTATAATAAACTGTCTTCTCTATGCACTTCCTTCAGGTGATTTGTAGGTTGGTCTCTTTAGAATGTTTATAATTTGATTTGTGATAGAAATAAATATTTGTGTAATTATCATTTTGGCTTATACCAAGGAAAAGGATCATCACCTTTTTACTTCTGGGGTGTGCTTCTTTCCATCTGAATCTGTGCTTGTTCTAATAACAAGCAGAGTGTTGGTAAGTGTTCTGCTACTCTTTTGCCTTTTAAAATGATTGTATACTAAAATACAATGTAAGAACTGTCAGTACCCATAATTATTACTGTATGTATTCTTTTACCATCTTGCTGCTACAATAAACACTTCTGAATACCAAATACCTAGACTGTAGTAGCAGGTGAATTGCATTTTTGATTAGGGCTGGCTGAGTGGGTGGCATGGTCCTACATGCAGAGAGAAGGCCCTAGTGATAGTCTAGAGTACTGGTCCTTTTCACTTGGAAACTATGAGTTTAAATGGTACTTTCAGGCTTAAATTAGGACCATCTTTGACATATAAAACAAATTTTAATGTTAGTCCAATAAGAACCTGATAAAGGAAATTAACCTATTATAATGCTTTTGTTATAAAGCTTCGTTTTTTTTCTTGATGTTACAAGCAAATATAACTGCAAGATGCTAATGCTTGATCATTAGTATATCTCCTTGGGTTGCTCCCTTACTAGACTTTTTTATGAAGGAAGGTTGGGCAATCCTACTTCCGTAGTGATACTGCCTCGGAAACCCAAGGAGGGGTCGCTATGAGTCGGGGCCGACTCGACGGCACATAACACATAACATTTCCAATTTTATTTTTTCCTCATAAACCTTTTTATTTTTCCAACTATGTAACTCCTTCTTGTTGTTGTTATGTGCCGTCGAGTCAGACCCAACTCATAGCGACCCCTTCTTGGGTTGCCGAGGCAGTATCACTACGGAAGTAGATTGCCCATCTTCCTTCCGAGGAGCGGCTGGTGAGTTTGAACCATCAGCCTTTTGGTTAGCAGTCAAGTGCCTTAAGCGCTATGCTACCAGTATTGCGGATTAGGATTAAGAAGCTCTAGCCTCGGAAACCCAAGGAGGGGGTCGCTATGAGTCGGGGCTAACTCGACGGCACATAACAACAACAACAACAGTGCTATAGTGGTGAAGACATTTAGCTGCCAACCAAAAGATCAGTGGTTTGAACCCACCAGCTGCTCTATGGAAGAAAGATGGGGCAGTCTGCTTCCACAAAGATTCACAGCCTTGGAAACCCAATAGCAGTTGCCATGAGTCAGAATTGACTCAATGGCAATAAATTTGGTTTGGATTAGGATTATGGCAAAGAGATAGTAAGAACTGAATAGACCAATATGACAGCATTGAGGATGAGAAAGACATAGAGAGGAACATGGGAGGTATAGACGTCAAATATGAACCCTTTTGCACATATAGTACTGTGTTGTCAATGA